ACTACTACTACTACTACTACTGTCGTCGACGTGCCAAGTGGGTGACAAAACTACTACCAGCACCAGTACAAGTACTAGTACATTGTGCCTGGAATCTAGAACAATTAATTGGAGAGGAAATCTTGGTGAGTTGGCAATCTTGGTCAATCTTGGCGGAGAAACCAAGATTTTGACAGTAATCTTGCCCCACTTGTCCTACCGGCCCACCCCGCGAAGTGAGACAAGATTGCAAGATTTTTTGCAGTCTTGCAGAAATCATTGTTCTAGATTCCCGGCACACTGCACTAGTACTAGTACCAGTACTAGTAAGAGTACTACAACTACAACAACACCTACTGCTACTATTACTACTACGACGACGCCTACTACTAGCACCACTACCGCCACTACCACCACAACGACGACTATTACTACATCTACTATTACTACTACTTTCTGCTACTGCTACTGCTACTCCTACCACAAGCACATGTGTTAAGTCGTGCCACGCAACGAAAGACATACCAAGACCCGTGTGCCAGTGCAGGAAGGCATTCTTGAGCTTTTGTAGCCTTTCTTGAGAGAGGCCGGTAGTGGCATATTGTAAGCGTGTGCACACGGTGTTTGTGAACTTGATTTGCAGCCGGAGCATCCCGGAGAGCAAAGCTACTTAGGTTGCATTAGACCGCCATGTGTCACACCTTGTTCAAGGCCTGAACGTTTTGTAAACGTCGCATCACTAAGCGTCACACTTGTGGAAAATTGGCATGGGCAGCCCGGCACGGGCATATTTTATGAAATTATTCAACAGAGGGGTTTCGGTCCGCCTGATCGCCGCTACACGCGCCCACATGTTGCGCTTATTGACTCCGCTGTCGCATTAATTTGGCGTGTACGCTGATGTTGCCCCGCCTCCCCCGACATTTCCACAAGTCGCCATGCAAGGTCGAAGTGCAAGATATGAAACCCATATCCTCAATTGCAGGGATTGATAATGCATGAACAAACCCGCCCGAGGGCAGCCTGCAAGGCCTTTGCGAGGCATAGCCCCAGAAAAAAGGCATTGCCCGTCCGTTAGCAGTGTGGTTCTGACAGCGCTTGCACTCTGCAATGCACTGCTTGCTTTCGCTCTTCTATGTTCTCTGCACCGATACTCTGCAAATCCCTCTTCTGTTTAGTTTGCGATGTCCCTCCAAGCCAAGGGCCGATCTCGACCACGTGCACCGCATCGTGCTCGCTCCGTGGATCCCCGGGACTCTCGGCTGGAGGCCCCAGCAAGGTCGGCTGCCGAGGGAGAGCGAAGCGGGAATCTGGGAGTTGAAGCTTAGTCGCCCAAGCTGGCACGGACGTCACCCGAAGTATTTACCGCCAATATCATGACCATATTGAACAATGCCAGTCACGCATGACATCAGGGTGTGCTCCAAGAAGCCTTAAGATATCCCAGGAGCATCATGACACAGCGAATGCGGTCGTGACTGCCATCCCAATAACCGTTCATGCCACGAACGTGGCTTCAAGACAGCGAAACAGAGAAGACTGTTTAGAAACAATGCGGGCGCTCAAGCTCGAGGCCCAGGGATTCGAAACCACAAATTGCCAGAGAGCTGCCGAGTAAAGCACCAATCACTGCCACAACAAGGAGAACACTCTGCTGAACGGCATGTTATGTTGGTCCGCGAAAACAGCGCAAGCGCTATGAAGAACGACTTTCGCAGAAAGGGCGCGCTTCAAGGGGTTCGGCAAAAACGAAAGGACGGCTTTTGAACAGCAACGCGACCCGATGTGCAGTCGAGGCATCGAGGTGGAACCGGCTGTGTTGCAGCCCGGTACCTTGAACGTGCTCCAAGTCAGCGCGATTGGCTTGGGGGGAAGATATACCACAAAGCACGCGAGAAATTAGTCGTCAGGCACTTATCTTCATTTTTTTTGTTCCCTCCCCCCGGGGGAACTACTACTACTTCTGCTTTTTGAGGCTTTTAACACAGCAAAATTAGTAGTAGTAGTAGCAGTAGTAGTAGTAGTAGTAGTAGTAGCAGTAGCAGTAGCAGTAGCAGTAGCAGTAGTAGCAGTAGTAGGAGAAGTAGCAGTAGTAGTAGTAGTAGTAGTAGTAGCAGTAGTAGTAGTAGTAGTAGTAGTAGTAGTAGTAGTAGTAAATAGTTAGTAGTTAGTAGTTATAGTAGTTATAGTAGTTAATAGTTAGTAGTTCTAGTAGTAGTAGTAGTTGTTGTTGTTGTGGCAGTAGTAGTAGTGTAGTAGTCGTCGTCGTCGTCGTAATACTAGTAGCAGCAACAGCAGTAGCAGTAGCAGTAGTAGT